CGTTTTTTGGATGCACCTTACTTAGATGTATCTAAAAAGTAAAAATTTTGTGAAAAAATATTTTTAAAAATTAATAAATACATAAAAATATAAAAAATGTACTGAATTCTAGTATTTTTTTTTTTATATTTTTTGTATTTAGTGAATTTTTAAAAGGTTTTTTTCAATTTTTTATTTTTATTTTTTAGGTATATTTATGTTAGGTATTTCTAAAAATTAAAAAAATTGCTCAAAATATTAAAAAAAAATTAGTAAAAATAAAAAAACACAAAAAATAAGAAAGTAAAATTTTTTAAAAAGTATTTTTGAAAAATAATAATCAAGCATAGTGATTACATTCCAAAAATTAGAACCTGAATAAAATTTACAACAATGATTCATCCCACTAAAAATATCACCACTAATAGCACTAATGTATTAAAAAAGTAAAAAAAAAAAATACAATTTCAAGACCAAAATATCACATCATTAATGACGGGACCCACTGCCACCTAATTAGTGGAGCACTAACCCAAGCATTTTTCTAAAATTTAACACATAAACTGATTAGGATTTTTTGGGAATAAAAAAATGGTGAAGTCCAATCTTTATGATTTCTCAACAACCGAAGTCCTACTTGATGCATCCCATTTCACAGTCTGCCTTGTCAATTTACCTATTTTTTGATTTTATAAATTATTTTATTTGACTTTTTTTTTTTAAATTGAAAAATTATTTCCAATTATACTAATTTTTTTTATCTTATATTTTAGTTAAAAAATCAAAAAAATTATTAAAACAGCATGTTTTAAATGAGGCATAAATACAAGTATAAAACTCAATAACTAAAACTAAATCACCATAAATCTAGAACAAAAATGTTTTAGAGTTTTAATAAAGGAGCTCTAATTGGGAATGGGTCCCACTATGATAGTGATGTTGAAAAATGTTTTGGAACTCTAATTCTTGAGCTCTAGAGTCAACTCTAATGAGCTGGCAGTTGGCCCCACTTACTGTGATATGATGTTTTGGTCTTAGTTTGTTTGTTTGTTTGTTTTTTTTCTTGCCATGCCATTAGTGCTCCATTAGAGTCCCAAATTAGTACTCTGAATCATTGCTATAGTGATGTTTGTGTTTTTTTTTTTTTTTTGATTTCCCATGTCATTAGAGCTCCTTTATTTAGGGGGATGTATCATTGTTTGAAATCACCATTTCAAACTCTAAAAATGTAAAACATTAAATTAAACCTTTTAGAGAGATATTCTTACCAATTAAAGGGGTATTTGAGATGATCTAAATAAATATATTTTTTAACTTTTTACGAAAATATGTGCAGAAAAATAAAGAGGTGATATGACCCAATAAGTACAGTTATCTAAATAAGTATACTTACATAGTGTCACGACCCCATTCCGCCCTTAGTAGAATGGTGCCATGATGGCCAGTAATCCGATATTACCAAAGGCCAACTTATAAGGATTCACACACAATCAGAGTATACATATAGGGCTAACAAGTGCGGAAGCAATAAATTTAAATCTAATTAGTCTCTAAGAGCTGTGCATAAATCAAATGATATGACATACATCTTATCAAGGTCTTACAACTTGGGTACAATAAAATGAAGTACAAAAATATATCTTGACCAAAAGGCTTTTCAAGCCATCATATACAAAACACAATGAAATGCAAGCTAAGAAGCATGATCTTCAAGATGCTACAAAATGCGAATCCAAAACAAGTTGCAAAGCATATCTAGGCGTCGCCGCCGTCCTGCTCATCACCTACATATATATAGAAAGGGTGAGCTTGGATACTCAGTGAATGGTACAAGTAATAAAGGGTTTGCATGAATAATATCCGAGATCTTTAACAAAACAATACATAATCATAGCTTGTAACAAAACATGGGATGAATCAAGTTCATTTAACAAATCTTTCAAGCTTCATCAATCAAAGTCTTTCAAGACTTTCAAGTTTCAAGGGATGACATTAACAAAGGTTGTGCTACAAATGCTTATAGTCCCCTAGCACGTACGGACTTTCAAAGGTTGTGCTACAAATGTTTATAGTCCCTTAGCACGTACGGACTTTCAAAGGTTGTTATCAAAACCAAAGCTAATACTTGATACACAAAATAGGGATAGTCATTCATGCTTGATCCAATACTTTTCAAAACAAAGCAAAGCAAAGCTTATCAAAACATTATAACATAGCTTTATTAAAAATACCACTCATATAGTTCTTCAAACGTCGGGGTCAAGCGAGAGTCCAAGTCCTACAAACACATGGCAAGGTCTATTGAATGCACTATCAAACAAGCTTTACATGAACGCAAAGGATCTCGACATTCTTTCGTTTAAAACTAAATCAAACCAAAACAAAACACTGTTTCTCATCTCGGAAAAACATAATGGGCACCAACCAGGTCTTGGCCGAGGTCCCACACCTCCTTACCGAGATAAAGAACATGAAGAACATGAACATAAAGAACATGAAAAACATGAATGCTCAATCGCAACTTGTTATTACAAAATCTGAGATTTCATGCTATGAATTCAAAAACATGGACCTGGGTATCAATACTTGAAGATCTTATGAAAACAAACACAAAAACCTGAATCTTGATGCAAGCTTTCGGATCAAACAAGGCAATGCAACTAGATGATCAATAAGAACAACAAGAGTAGATTAAGATTCTAACCTCAAAACTCGAATCTAGCGGTTCAAGCACCCAAAGATCAAGCTTGGAAATCTATTCCTCCTCTAAGAACTTCTGTTCCTCTCCTAGAGCTTTTCTCTCCTCAAGAACAAGATATGATACCAAATGATACATTTCTCTCTCTCTGCCGGCTGATTTAACACTCAGCTCGGACACGTGGCAATGGTTGGTTGGCTCTACTCAAAAAGGTGACTGAGTGAAAAGACAAGACTATGACAAAGTGTATACAACAAGTAAGGTGACAATGGCACTCCGGCAGGTAATGACCTCGGATTAGGACAAAGTTTCGGCAAGTAAGGTTTCAATGATCTCGGCTAGGAAGGACAACACTTGATTTAGCTGTGCCACACCTCGGTCTAGATGTGCCACATCTCGGTCTAGGTCATACCTATCCAGGAACAAGATCACTAGGTGTAAGGATAACATTTCAGCCTAGATAATACACATCTAGGCCTTGGTGATGAACACCTCGGCCTAGATGATGACATCTCGGCCAATATGCCGGGGTGAAGGTGGAGACCAACCAAAGTGGTTTCAAGGTGATCCTAGGTGCAAGAGGTTCAAAGGTGCAACCTAGGCTTAAGATGACCTCGACTAAACACACACCAAACAAGGAACAAAGCATGCAAATAACACTTATGCAAGACAAATCAAGGTTTGCAAATGCAACATATCAAGACAAGATCATGTAATATATGCAAGCATAACTAGAGTAGAGTGAGGGTTGTTACACATAGTGTATGTCAAATAGCCCTTAAAAGCCTCTAATCCCTCAAAAAAAGAAAATACAAGCTTTGATCCTTCAAGAGGTTAAAAAAAATCTAGAGTTAGAAACTTCTTTTGTACTATTTTCGAAGAAAGAGGAGTGGGTGATCGGAGCTTTTTCCGACAAGGAAAGATGGCCGGCGGTGGTAGAGATGGTGGGTTGAGGTGGTAGTATAAGGGTGGAGCAAAGGTGGGGTATAAGAAAGTAAGGGAAAATGAGAGAAAGGTGGAGAGAAGTTAGAGAGAGAAGAATGAAGACAATGAAATAAAAATCTACAAATTTTTTATTTTATTTTTTTAGTTGAAAGGTGGCGTTTCGTCACACCTGCAATGAAGTTTGGAATTGGTTTAGATATCCTAAGGGAAAATGAGTAGGAGCTCTAATTAGAGCTACCACTAGTGATGTGGCAGTGGATCCCACCCACTGCCATAGTGTATGTTGTGTCTGTGGTTTTTTTTTATATTTTTTTTAGCCTTTTCCACCTCATTAGTGGTGGATTAGAGCCACCAAATTAGTGGTCTCTATCATGACTGTATCCTAAGTGAAGTTTAACTTAGGAGCATGTTTGGCTCTAGATAAATGTTGGATATATTATGGGTCTATTTGTTTTGGGTTATAAGAAATGAGATTAGATTAGGATGGATATGGGGTCTGTTAATATTGTGTTCGTTTACAAAATAGAGAAGGAGATTCACAATACCTTGGGACTATGATAGGTCTCCATGGATGGAACTAGGAATTTTCATAGGAGATGGTATTAGAAAAACAATCTCTTAGAATTAGAGGATAATTTATTATTTTACCTTCCATCATCGTACCAAATTAACTTTTACTCTCCTGAGTTAATATGGTCTTCTCTTTATTGTTTTTATTAATTATTCTATTATTTTTTACTCCACCATTCTTTATATCAAAATAATTTAATATAAAAATATAATAGTATAATAATATTTATATTAAAAAAATAAAATAGTACCCAAAAAATAGTACCCTAAAAAAATATATTTATGAAATATAATTTTTAATATTAAAATATGTAATGCATTTATTAGTGGATATAAATCCAAATTTAATAGTAATGCAACAAAAATATATAAAATTTTATATGTTAATCTCAAAAATATATAAAATTTTATACGTTAATCTCACTCTTATCTCTTAAAATAAATAAAAACCATGGCTAATCTGTTAATTATCAAATAAACACAATTTTTTTTAATGGTCTAACTAACCGTCTCAGGCTTGGTTTGGGAAGTAGGTTGGCTTTTTGACTTTTTAGTTTTTTTGGCTATTTTAGCCTGGGCTAAAAAGCTTGATTTGGGAAGGACTTTTTAGCTTTTTGGCTTTTTGACTTTTTTGACTTTTTTTGTGAGAGAAGAATGTAATGATTATAGGTTGGATGTGATGCTTTATTTGTTATGACTAAAATAGCCTATTTTATTTTTTGTGACTAAAATAACCAAAAAAACCTGAAAACCAACTTGCCAAACAGAGAGGCTCAGTGAACCTACTTATAAAAACAAACGTGCCGTATATATATTTCCTCTTCTATTCATTACTTACAATTTGCAAGATCTGCAGATAGGTGAGCAAAAAGCTAAGGTGAGCCATTCTTTTCTTAAATTATTGTTGTTTCATCTCATCCTTCGTTTAAACAAACCACTATAAACTTCTACATCAAAACTTTGATTGATAGTTATTGTTTCATTTCTTTCTTCATGGGTTGATCATGTTCTGTTTCAATTTGATAAATACACTTTGCAAAAGCTAATAGATTTCATTTTTTTTATTGTTAAGGTTTGGTAAGACATTGAGCTATGCAAAGCTGAAGAAAATTGATATGGAAATTCTTGTGAATCTCGTTGGTGATAAGGAAAGATATTTAAAATCTCATATGGTGCTAAAATTTTGGGATTTTAGAGGTATCTCTTTTTATTTTGCGGCCTTAATTATTTAAATTATGCGCTCTTCAAGTTTCTGTGAATATTTTCGTAGATCTTCTTGGCATCAATACATGATTAAAGCAAAGTGTTGCGTCCTTCATGATTTTTTCATATTTCTGCAGAATTTTCTTTTCTGTACACCTTTCATTCAAAGTTGAATCTCTCTATCTCACCATGACTCCAGATTGAGGAAGATTGATGGTGTTGGAATTTTATCATTCATATCTAGATCAGGTTATTCTTGACATCGTTTGAGGGGTAAGAATCTACCTAAGTTCCTTTTCTTTTTCAAATCAAGCTCTTTGAATCATAGATTTAGGTATGAATTAAAAAAAAAAAAAGAAAAAAAAAAAAGAAAAAAGGTGAGACAATTGTTAATAAAATATAAGTTGGTTGATTTTTTTTTTCTTTCCATTTTCTCTTATTGCAATCTATCTCCAAATACAGTGTTATTTCCTTGTTTGAAATTTGCATTCATTCAACGAAAGCTATGTTCGTATATGTTACATTGACGGTATAAATATGGGTGTAGTTGTGTCCCCTGGACCCAATAATACTAAATCTATACTCAATATTTTATTGGAAAATTTATTAGAAAATCTTATTTGAAGTATTTGTATCCGAATTAATACCTAACATGTTCTTGTATTTTAAGTCATATTATTTGAATATTTGATTCATTAAATCTTTTTCATATTTAAGGTATTTTTTGAACAATTGGACACTTCTACAAATATTTTCAACTTTTAACAATTTAGTGATGTGAACATTCATATTTGATAGTATGAATATTCACGGTAAATCCACACGGTTAACATTTATGTGTTTTACCCTATTATTATTAGGAATATTTTAATAACTGTGTCATTCATAACACATTAGTTTATAAAAAAATAATTTAAACTAAATATAAGTTCATGAAAAGGAATTTGTGAATAAATACCTCAATTTTATTCAACATTATTTAAATTTATTTTATGTATGGACCTAAAAAGCACCTATTGAATCTCCATTACAGGTTTGTGACATAAAATTATTATGATTTATGGTGGGATAAAATTATGATTTATGTAACTAAATTTTAGAATGTTATTATAAATTTGGGCGGATTCCAGTAACAGTTCCTATAGCTTGGGGCTCATGTCATTTTATTATTGATTTTTCAATTGTGACACATTTGACTTTGAATTTTAAATTTTGTTTTAAATAAGGACAATTTAAGATATCATTGCTCAATTTCAAAGACAAAATTGCCAATTTGATGAAATATAAATTAATTTGACAAAAATAAATGACAAAAAATATTTTGGAGTTTTAAAAAATAATTTTTATTCACTAAAAATAAAATTATGTAAAATTGATAAAAATAAAAATAAATATTTATTACATGATCATCATTCAAGCATATAATTAATAATTAATGTCTAAACGATATACTAATCTTATATAATTAATTAATTGTGGAGGATGGGTTGTGATAAAAAAAAATTGTGAGTTTGGTAGGATGGGTTTAATTAATTAATTGTGGAGGATGGGTTGTGATAAAAAAAAATTGTGAGTTTGGTAGGATGGGTTTAATTAATTAATTGTGGAGGATGGGTTGTGATAAAAAAAAATTGTGAGTTTGGTAGGATGGGTTTAATTAATTAATTGTGGAGGATGGGTTGTGATAAAAAAAAATTGTGAGTTTGGTAGGATGGGTTTAATTAATTAATTGTGGAGGATGGGTTGTGATAAAAAAAAATTGTGAGTTTGGTAGGATGGGTTTAATTAATTAATTGTGGAGGATGGGTTGTGATAAAAAAAAATTGTGAGTTTGGTAGGATGGGTTTAATTAATTAATTGTGGAGGATGGGTTGTGATAAAAAAAAATTGTGAGTTTGGTAGGATGGGTTTAATTAATTAATTGTGGAGGATGGGTTGTGATAAAAAAAAATTGTGAGTTTGGTAGGATGGGTTTAATTAATTAATTGTGGAGGATGGGTTGTGATAAAAAAAAATTGTGAGTTTGGTAGGATGGGTTTAATTAATTAATTGTGGAGGATGGGTTGTGATAAAAAAAAATTGTGAGTTTGGTAGGATGGGTTTAATTAATTAATTGTGGAGGATGGGTTGTGATAAAAAAAAATTGTGAGTTTGGTAGGATGGGTTTAATTAATTAATTGTGGAGGATGGGTTGTGATAAAAAAAAATTGTGAGTTTGGTAGGATGGGTTTAATTAATTAATTGTGGAGGATGGGTTGTGATAAAAAAAAATTGTGAGTTTGGTAGGATGGGTTTAATTAATTAATTGTGGAGGATGGGTTGTGATTAAAAAAAATTTGTGAGTTTGGAAGAATGGAAATATGAGAGAGAGAAAATGAGATGGGGAGCAATCAAGATGGGTTTAATAAAAAAAAAAAAAAAAGGCATGGTGATGTATACGAAGAGAGATTAGATTTCAAATAGAGAGAGAGAGAGAGAGAATGGAGACGGGCCTTACTCATTTGGCCTGACGAACAACCGTAGAAGAAAGACAATAAATGAGGGCAAGAGGAGATAAGAGGCGATGGTGGTGGGATGGTTAGTGGTCGTGGTAGTCGGTGGCAGCGTCTCGACGAGAGGGAGGAGAGAGAGAGAGAGATTCTGGCTTAGATTTTGAGGTGAGAGAGAGCAGAGAGGTTTGGTAGAGTGAGATTTAAGAGGAGAGAGAGAGCATTTGAGCAGGAAATTAATCATTAAATTTTAGATGCTACAATTTGGACCATTGAAACAACAGTCCCGCTGCGTACCCAATGGGGGTCGCGCCCCTAGTGACGTGGTGCGCCCCCACTGGCTGAAAACTCAAAAAAAAAAAAAAAAAACAACAATTTTTTTTTTCCAATTCCGGAGTGACACCTCATTGGGGGTCGACCCCCAGTGGGGGTAGGAAGCATTTTTGTTGAAACAAAATGTACTATCTCTAATACATTTTGAACATTTTTAAAACCTTCTTCCCATATTATGTTGATTTGAAGATTAGATTATCAAGTTTTGAAAGGCCACCATAAGCTCTATGTTTAGGATTCGAATAGTTCACTTTTAAGTGTTTAGGATTTGAATAGTTCATTTTTTAAGTATTTGTGTGTATATTTTTTTAAAAATAAACAACAAATATAATTTTAAAAATACATCATTAATTTTTTAAAGATGGATACATTAAAAATTTGTGTTTATATTTATCGAATCAATATGATTTTTTCAAGAATAATCTAAACATAAGTACCTAAAAATAAATTAGCGAAAGGAAACTTGAGGTCGGCTCACAAACCAAAAATTCGACCGTCTAATCCTATAATCGTTTAGATGACTAGAGACATGCTAAGGGATATGTACAGAAGCATATTTTGAAATTGATTTATATCTTATATTGTTGTAGTCTACCATAAAACGTTATTAATATTAGGAATGTAATTCAAATTGATTAAGTTTTAAGGTTAAACTGCACTCTCTCTTTTTGAAAATTTTTATCTTTTTTTGTTCCAATTTTTTAGAAATTTATTTTTTAGTTTTTCATATATTTTTATTTTTAATAATTTTTTTTAATATTATGAGTAATTTTTTTTGTTATTTTTTAGGTATAATTAATATAAATACAACTAAAAAGGATAATATTTATGAATTTTTTTAAAAAAAATTCATTCAATACCAAGAATAAAAGAAAAGAAAATTTAGTATATTTTCATATTCTTATGTATTTATTGATTTTTTAAATATTTTTTTACAAATATTTTATGTTTTAAGTGCATCTTATTACTTAAAATATTAAAAAATATGAAAATAAAAACTTAATTTAAAAAAAATTAAATTTGGAAAATTAGAACTCAACAAGTTTGTTAGAATAAATTCATATTAGATCAAGTCTATATAAAAAGATTTTCAAAATTTAAGTCCCTTGATTATTAAATTGGGAGGTAGTTTCTTTTCTGTCCATAATTTGGATTGAAAATCATTGTTAAGAGACTATGGACCCCACTATGGGTCCCATTTCAACGTCTAACCATTTATTTTGTTAAGTACTTCATGTCCATCACCTACACTAAAAAAATTAAATCGATTTGATAATTATTTTTTTGCTTTGTAATAAATAAATAAAAAGAAAAACAAATGATCTATTTTAAAAACACAATTGTTGTCCATTTTTTATTGACAAATACGATAAATTAAATAAGTTACGATTATCATATCAATCTAATTATTATTATTTTAAATGGTATGTACGAAATACCCGATAAAATACACAATTTAAATAATTAAATCAATACACTCGATGCACTTGATGGTCTCGAATATGCAATCTAGATTATGAACCGGGGACAATTCATCTCTTTTAAATTTTGAGAGGTGAGATCCATACTTTATACGTCTTTTCCTCACGCCTCAAACTTATTCCAAATCTTTCCATGAGTCGTCTTGCTAATCCCGATTAATCCACCAACTCGATCAATGCTCATACACCTGTTACTCGTTAACCAAATTAAAAATGTTAGGAACACTAAATATTTTACTAAATTTTTTAGGATCTGTTAGTAACCATTTTGTTTTTAGTTTTTAGTTTATATTTACAAAAATTTTAAAATTATCATAAAAACTTATTTAATAATTTTTTTGGTTTAAAAATGCTTGTTTCAGTTTATAAATTTGAGGAAAAACTGTAAACTCCAAAAATGATTTTACGGTGATTTTTAAATAGAAATTTAAAAATTTGACTAACAATTTTTTTTTTCAAATAATTTATTTCCCAATTAATTTTTTTTTCATTAATTTTTTTCAATTAATTTTTTTTCAGTTAATTTTTTTTCCAATTATTTTTTGTTTTTCAATTAGTTTCCCCCTCCAATTATAATGTGTATGATCTCATTGTCATGAATAATAAAAAATAAATATAAATATTTTAGGCTTGAACAAACATATTTTTTACTTTATGTTTTAAAAAATTTTCAAACATTTTTGTCATGACCCAAACCCGGCCCTATGGGTTTAGCACCGTAACCGGCCAGTAATCCGAGATTACCGAAGGCCTGCAGAACAGTAATACAGTAAAACAGAGTACAGGGCCTGGCGGAAGCCAATACAGTAAATAAATAGTGTCCATTGAGCTGTGACAGTCTGTATGCAAAAAGGCTTTTCATACATTCACACATAAACAGTACAGAACAGTATACACAATATTCACATCCATTCAAACTAGGGAATAATAGTGGTAGTAGTGGTAGTGGAGTGGTGACGATGGTAATAGTAATGGGTGAGAGAGATAAAGAGAAGAGAGATGAGCGAAAGAGACAAAGAGAGAAAATAGATGAGAGAAGAGATAGATGAATGAAAGACAAACACAGAGAGAAAGAGACAAATAGACAGACAGAGAGAGAAGAGTGATGAATGAGAGAGAGAAAGAAAAGAGAGAGAAGAATATGAAAAAATTGGTGAAAAGATATAGACAAAGAGAGAGAGAGACAGAGAGAGAAAAAAAAATAGCGAAAATAGATAAATGAGAGAGAGAGAGAGAGAGACAGAAAGAGATGAGCGAGAGAGCGAGAGAGAAAAAAATAAGAGAGAGAGAAGAGAGACAGAGACAGAGAGATAGGAAGATCAAAAAATGGGTGAAAAGAGAAATGTTCAAAAGAGTAAGACGACGTCGTTTATAGTGGATCGATAAAT